TGGGGAATTCTGGGAGTTGAAGTCCACACGTCTTAAAGTTGCTGAGGTTGAGAAACACTGGCCTATGGTATCCAAAAATCAGGAGGAGTCTGGTAGCATCTTTTCAGACTAACAAGTTTTATTAAAAGGCATCTTATGAAATGAGCCACAGCATCTTTTAATAGTCTGAAACGGGGCAACCAAACTCAAGCTTAGTGATAACCCTGGGCCATTCCCTTTCTTCCAGTCCAGCCTAAATCACAGGGGTTTTGTTGGGGATAAATGTTGAAGCTCCTGGTCCATAATTTCAGAGGTTTTTAGCTACTAAGAACAACTTGATAAAGTTCTATGACAGTGCTCAAATCTGTAACAAACAATAGAGTATTGATTTTTTTTTTTGAAAGAGCCCAAAGGTAAAATACATATTTGACTAATTTAAAATAACATAAATATAGTAGAAGGTAGCAGGCATATTTATCAGTCTTTCAAGTAGCATGATTTATTTAGGTTTGTTAGATAACCTGCTCCATGCAGTTCTGTTCATCATGCTCAGTAAAGATTAGTTATATATGATCTCCAAGATTAATTTAGTCATATAGACCACTAAATTCTTTCTTTTTTTTAGGTCCCAGAGCAGTGGAAGCCTACAGCCAAAAATTTCAAGTGCTAACCACTTCAGGGAAATTGTTATTTTCTGCAGATGACAATGAAGTGGTCGTTGGAGCAGAGAGACTGAAAGTTTTAGGTAAACAATACTCATCAAAGCTTCTCTTATTATCAACATATTGATTACCTTGAAAATAGTTTATGTGTATGATCTCTTTTACAGTCATTGTAGAAGAATTATCTCTTGGCTTCAGTGAAAATTGATCAAATGTTTCTGCGATTTCATAGCCACAGTGTACTTCTTTGCTTTTAAATTTATTATATAATTATATAAATTTTTAAAACAGTTTTTATTCTGGAGAAAATGTAATCAGTGACTTTAAGAAAAGCATTCTATATACTTAGATTGTTTACATCTAGTGATAAGATGCACAATCAGCAGTCTATAGTAGGGTTTCTCTGTCAAGACCAAACATAGCACATTTTTGTTCCACTTTGGGTTTTTAGAAAAAACTCTGAAGTAGAAAGAGGAAGAACAGGAGTAGTTGCCATTCCTGTGTTTGCCTAGCCAAAAATTGTGTCCTGTCTGCAAGCTACAGGACTTTCTTACTTAGGCAGTAGAAGATAACATCAACTGTTGCCATTATGTGGTAAAATGGAATTCAGTTTTTTATAAGCAAATATCTGGAATTTCCATTGTTTTTCTTCTACCTACATCTCCCTGCACACCTGTCAGGGGAAAAACCACGTTAAACACGGGAGG